CACGCTCTGCCGGCAGCCTGGGTGTTTTCCTCCAGACTGCGTGCTTGTTTTCATTAAAAGACACGTTTGGGGGGATAAGATCCTGCTTAATTTCAGTTAAAAATGTAAGTATTTCAATTTGTAAATTAAAGGACTCTCTAAAATGTGGAAATCCGGTAAAAATCTGTGAAAAGGGGCTCATCAGTAATTTGTCCCATACACACCGGCCAGGTCCCAAGAGCCAAGCTGAGGTGCTTTGCAGAGCAGAAACTTGAGAAGATCCAGCCTCTTTCTGAACGCCTAGGCATACCGTGAGAACACAGGGACTGCTTTGGGACTGGCCTGGTCCAGGCAGCTTTCTCCTGTGACACTGGGAAACCTGGGCTGGGACGGGGCGGAAGCCAGCCCCGGTGCGCGTGATGGCCGGCGTGACGCGCTCCCTGTCCTGCGCGGTCTAGAGGAGGTACCCACACAGCTTCCCTGACTATCACCCTTCTCGACTGGCAAATGGTGACACCAAACAATGCCTGCACTGACTGACAAGGGCTGTTGGAAAGCTCTGTGTGTGTGCACATATGCGTCATATATGTGCACATACAGACTCTGAAGGTAACGATATATACTGGAAACAGGTATGTGTACGTGGACGCGCAGTCTGTCTGTCCGCATCTACACCTGTGCGCAGGCGCGAGAACAGCACAGTTTTCATTCATCCGTTCAGACACGCAGCAGAGGTGCCGGCTTCCTAGGGTTTGCTCAGTTTCGTTCCGTTTTTCGCAGCTTTCCTTCTTTATCTCACCTGGTTTTATCCAAATGCTAGAGAGGGCTCTGACATCGCATTTCTGCTGTGACTGGGATTTAAAGCACAACGGGGTGGCTTAAAGAAACCATGGTCTGTCCTCTTAGAAGGTGACGCTGGTGGTCCTGACACCGCGCAGCGCCCTCAGCCCCTGGAGACCGTGGATGGCAGGAGACAGGGTCTCAGACGTTGGTGACTGCGCCTGGCAAGTCACAGACCCCACAGGAAAAGAGCAGAGGGAGACACTTTCCCTGACTGCACGCTCTGAAAACCTCCTTTGCCCACCTGCTCGTCATGCCACCCCACACACACTCTGGGTACTGAACAGCCGAGGGAGTCGGTGTGCCCTGTGTTAGGGTCAGATTGTGTTTCCCAGATGGGAGGGTGTGCGTGGCTTGGCCCTGACAGTGTGGAGTGGTAGAAGGGACGTGTGTTTGATAAATATCTGTCTACCTCACAGCACCAGAAGCCGCAACACGGTAAACACCACATCTTTTTCTTTTCTATTGTATCACCGTGTTCCTAAAACAGCATCTGGCACGTGGCAGACACACCTGCATTTGTTGAACAAACAACATTAATGACTCATCAAAATAATCATTCCCTAAGCCTCAACTCTGGGCAGGGGTGGGTGGGAGGTGCTGCCCGTTAGTCCCTAGAGGGGACATTCACTGAGCCGGTGAGCAGGACAGTCAGGGTCCTAGGCAAACCCAGGCGTGTTAGACTCAATCTAAATGCTTTTCTGGGGGGACCAGCACATGGCATAGTGGTTACTTTGCTGGACTTCCCACGTAGACACCCATGGTTGAGTCCTGGTCCAGGCAGCTTAAAACTCCCACCTGGCACGTGTACATGCATGCCTCAAACAATGGAGGAGAAGGGATTGCCATGTGGCCATCCCCTCTGAGGAGGGATTCCTTGCTTTCTGTCTTTCTGTCTCTCCAGTGAGTGCGCGCACCCTATAGCAAAAATCTCTTGAAATAAAAACTTTTTGTTTTCCTATCTCAGGTATTGCATGTGGACTAGCAGTGACAGCCAGTGGAATGCAAGTTGCTCTCACTGTCCCATGACAGTGTAGCCTGCTCTACGGAATAGCCAGGCTCACCTCAGTCCTCTATGACAGGCCAGGTGCGTCACTGTCTTTGCTGCTTAGTCCATGTCTATCTAGGGCACTGCTGTGGTTTGCGATGTCCCCCCAAACTTCACGTGCCAAGACTTGACTACTGCAAAGGTGTTAAGTAAAAACTTATCTTCTCGGTGTCCCAGGGTGGGGCTTCTGGGTTTGATAAGGTTTTTAGGGTGGGACTCCCTATGATTGAGTTCTAGTGTGTTTATAAATAAGGGGTTAAGGCGAGAATAAGTAGAAGCTTTGGAACACCTGCTTGGCTCAAGGTCCTGCCCTCACTTTGCCAGAAGTTGGCCCCTGGCCCCTGGCCCTCCGAACCACAAGCTGAAAAAACCTCCATTTCTTTATTAATTCATCCAGTGTCAGATATTTCACCAAGCAATGCAACAGTGGACTAAGATGGACATTCAGCAAACAGAGTATAAACTGTTTACTAATGCTTATCAAATAAATTGCATGTACGAAGGGATCTGATCACGTATGGGCAACCACAGACGGACAAGCAGAGCCAACGGTGACTTACGAGGATGTGTTTTCTATTTATGCAGTTTTAAAGAGAGAACTGTAAATGGGATAACATTTATAAAATTTGGACAAAGCATTTTCTAGTGCTGCACTAGAACGAGTTGAAGTAAAGACAAATTAAGAGTGTGTTACTCATTGAGGGACCAGCAGTTAGCATAATGGCTATGTCGCTGATCTCCTATGTAGTCGACCGCGGTTCGAATCCCGGACCCAGTGGCTTAAACTCATGCTGGGCGCGTGTGCGTGCATGCCCAAGATCCCGAGAGGAGAATGGAGGAGAAGGGATTGCGGTGTGGCCATCCCCCCTGGGGTGTGATTTCTCGCTTTATGTCTCTCTCTGTTTTTCTGGCGCGCCCTATAGCAAAAACCTGTCCAAAAAAAAAAAGTGTGTTACTCATTGAGACAAATTACTAACTTACTGAAAAGATGAGGCAACCAAACTTAGTGGGTCAGGGTGCCGATGCACTTGTTACATGGCACCTCCAAGAACCGTCCCCTGAGGCGCATCTTAGGCCTGACAATAGGCCCCTAGATTTTATTTTCTTTTTCTTTTTCTGTTTTTTTCCCCCTGTGGTTTACAACAAAACAAGTGCAAACAAGTACAAAAACAGGAAGAATATTACAATGAGCCTCCTGTACCCATCACTCAAGCCCCAGAAATTTTAAACACATAGAAAATCTTTTTTTATCTACATCACCATTTTTCTCCTTAAAATGAGGTTACCTTGGAGCAAATCACAGATATTGCAGCACTTTATGCACAAAAGTGTCTATCCTGAAAGATAAGGACTCCTTTTAAATCATAACTTAATACCACCATTCTACCTTAAACGTCACGATGTCTTCAAACACCCAGTGAGTGTATATCACACAAGTCCTTTCATCATTGGTTCATTGTTTCTTATTATGCTTGGCTTGTCTAGTGAAGAGCCAAGAAGACCTACATTCTCGCATTGGTTGGAAAAATTTCTTCTGTCTCTTAATCTCTAGTTCCCCCTCGACAAGGGGGGATTTATTATATATATAAATGATATTTTCTAAATTTGTTCACTGAGAAGTTCTAGAAAAATTACTACCTCCAAGAAAATGATCATTCCAGTGTTCAGAATATAGTTTCTATGTCTAGATAGATAGATAGATGACAGATAGATAGAAACTCTATTTACATTTTGTCTTTTGAGGAAAGTGGTTCATTTCTTCTGCAGTGTCTTGTACATCCTAGATAGCACTGATAAGTCACAGAGTGTTGCCACACCCTCCTGTCCCTCGTGTTCCCCATCCTACAAGTGTACAGGACAATTTTATTGCCAAATACTGAACCTGAACCCAATCAAGCTGGAGACTAATGGGTTCAGGTTCAGTCTTTGGCAGGAGCACCCCAGAGCTGGTGTTCTGTAACCCTTAGTGCCACTCCTGGAGGCACGGAATAACTGGTTGCCTCTCTTCTCTCTTTATGCTTAAATTGATTAAGAGATTAATTTTCACCAACCCAAGCTATCCATTACAAAGTTTCTCATCACCTCTTCACCAAAGAGTTTAATAATCACTAATGCTCGTCACCTAGTTTCGTTTTCATAGGAGGCTGTGAAATGTTGATATTTTAATTCTATCGTCCTTTCTGTGTGTATCATCTACAGTTATTTGACAAAGATCACCCTCTCATCAATGTAATATGAATACGTGTGCATGTGTGTGCATGTGGGAGTGTGTGCCTACCAGTAACCTCTGGGAGGTCTGAGGAGGAGAAGGTCCTCCCAGAACTAGGTGAAGGACCGAGTTCACAGACTGTCTCCCCGAGCCTGCATGATCATAAACATGTCCCAGAATGTATGATGTCCCCAAGACATGATCATAAACATGTCCCAGAACTCAAGATGTTCCCAGTAAAGTTTTACATTAACCAGAATGCTTCTCTCCCTGCACACATAGTATTTACTTGCCTGCATGTAACCCCGGAAGTGGAACTGTATGAAAGAATTGCCTACGCAAATAAACTTTGTCAGTTGCTCCCATCAACTGTCCAGCCTTTTCTTTCAGGGAAGTGTCTTCCAAGTCTTGGAGATGAACTCCAACAAAGTAGTGCCTGAACAGGTACTTGAAGGCACATGTCAGAACTGCTTCCCCCGCTTCAAAAAGTAAGCAGAAGTTACCTCATGGGACACCAGGTAAGTGAAGTTCTTTTCATTAGCCTAATTCATCACTTCTTAGAGCAATATGGTGTACATGTCTCGAAGGACTCTATCCAAAAAATGTTATGAGATTGTTCTTAGAGTTTAACTCTTGGTTCCCTGATGAAGGGACCTTAGACATTCAGGTGTGGGAATGCGTGAAAGTTAATGTCATAAAGGCTTACCAATAAGGGGAAAAAATACCCCCGCATTGGTGGGTGACATGGTGCCTGGTCAGAAGAGTTATCTAGCAGTTGGATGGGGTACCAGTGGATGTGGAAAAAGAGACGGCATGATTCTTACATGAATATGAACTATCAAAGGAGGATTTCTGAAAGGCCTGGATAGCTCAGTCAGTAGAGCATGAGACTCTGAATCCCAGGGTTGTGTGTTCGTACCCCACCTTGGGCGCCAACAGGAGTGTGTGTGTGTGTGTGTGTGTGTGTTTGTATTCATCTCTGTAGATGTATGGTTACTTTATGAGATTTGGGACCTACAGACTAGTCTGAACATACAGATATAGTCTGAACACTGGAATGATCATTTTCTCTGAGTTGGTAATTTTTCTAGACCTCAATGAACAAATTTAGAAAATATCTAATTTTTTAAAGAGAAAATGCATCAGGTGTTTATAAAAGTCACAATGATATTTATAGCTCAAATTTAAGACCACAGATTTTTATGCAATGTTTTTTATTTCAATTCTTTGAATCTTTCATCTTACATAAAAATACTGGGTCTAATTATATTAACATAATTAACATAATCACTGATTGTCTCTATCCTAATACATGAATGTATGTGAGCATAAACACTCCTATGAACACACATACTGGCTTAGAACAGCAATCTAGATAATATTAAATTTGTGATTACTAAAAACTGTTGATGTTTTCTATTCCACCAGGCATATATTACCAAATCATTTCATTTTAAAATCACCAACTCAGTACCACTGAGTTCATTGGTGTTATTTTGACTCATTATTTAGATTTAATTTTGTTTATAATTATTTAAAAAATAAACATGATTCCAAACTCATATTTACTAAATAAAATACATGTGAAGAAGTCTACTGTCCTTCTTTAGCCCTTTCACTGTCTTTTCTCCCTTGTTCTGTAGATAGCCATTCTTATTTTTTTTTTTGAGAGAGAGATTTATGCTATAGGACACGTGTGCTTGCCAAAAGAAGAGAAATCACCCCCCAGAGGGAATGTCCATGTCTCAACTCCTTCTCCTCCATTCTCCTCTCAAGATTTTGGGCATGCAGGCACATGCACCTGGTGTGAGTGTGGGAATCACCAGGTCTGGGATTTGAACCTTGGTTAACCACACAGGATTTCAGTGCCTTAACCACTAGGCCACCTGCTGGCCCCAAGCATTCTTATTAGCATTAGGTGTAACTGTCCATTGGTTTTTAAATACAAGCATCACAGATATATAAGTTTACACCTTCCTCTTCCTTGGGTAAGGGTTTTCCCATGTCACTAGCCCACTCTAACAGTTAGTGACACACTCTAGCACTGTCTGCATATGGTGACTGGAGATCTTCGACAGTTCTGTGCTGCGTAGTTCTTCCCTGCCAGATCTACTAGGGCTTTTTCTTCTGTCACTAGACAGCTGGCCGATTTCCAGTCTTATTATGACAAATAATGCTGCAATAAATAGCCCAGTGTGTAGAATTTTATATTTGCTAGTGTATTTTTGATAGATTATTAAAATACTAACAGCGGAATGGCCAAGTTAAAAGTAATTACACACAAGGGCCAGCAGATGGTGTAATGGTTATGTCGCTGGACTTCCACACAGCCAAGTGTGGTTCAAATTCCAAACCTGGTGGCTTGAAACTCATACCAGGCACGTGTCTGTGCGTGCCCCAAATCCTGAGAGAAGAATGGAGAAGGGATCATGGTGTGGCCATCCCCTCAGGGGGTGATTTGTCACTTTCTGTCTCTCTGTCTTTCTCAGTCTCTCCAGCAAGTATACATACCCTCTTGCAAAAATCTCTCTTAGAAAAAAAATGTAAATACACATGGGGCCAACTTGTGACCTGGTAGTTACGTCAGGTGGTTCCCACGTGACTGACTACTTGACTCAGTCTGGGCCTTTGGGCTTCAGAAGCACACTGGGCATGTGTGTGCTCATGCCCACAACTTGTGGGAAGGAGAGGTGGAGGAGGAGGGATTGTAGCATCGCCATGCCCTACCGGACAGTGCTTCCTCCCTCTCCCTTGCTCCCTCCCTCTCCCTCATTCTTTCTGGTGAATATACATGCCCTCTGGCAAATTTGAAAAGAAAAAGGTAAATGCACGTGTAATTTGGCTAGATATAATCAATCATAAATGAGGATTATTTCTTTCCCTCAGCTGTGCCGTCAACGTAAGCTGTCAAACTCTCGGATTTTACCAATCTGACATGTGGGAATAGTCTCTCACATGAAATTTTAATTTGCATGTATCTGGCTCTGAATGAGATGATCTTTTCTCACACTTGAGGGCCATCTGCACTGCTTTTTCTCTTTTTGCTAAAGGTTTGGTGGGTTTTCTTCTTTAGTTCTAGAAGCTCTTTACATAGAGGGTGATACAAGGTGCAAGGTAGTCTCTCAGTCGGCTCTGTACATAGAGGGTGATACAAGGTGCAAGGTAGTCTCTCAGTCGGCTCTGTACATAGAGGGTGATACAAGGTGCAAGGTAGTCTCTCAGTCGGCTCTGTACATAGAGGGTGATACAAGGTGCAAGGTAGTCTCTCAGTCGGCTCTTTACATAGAGGGTGATACAAGGTGCAAGGTAGTCTCTCAGTCGGCTCTGTACATAGAGGGTGATACAAGGTGCAAGGTAGTCTCTCAGTCGGCTCTGTACATAGAGGGTGATACAAGGTGCAAGATAGTCTCTCAGTCGGCTCTGTACATAGAGGGTGATACAAGGTGCAAGGTAGTCTCTCAGTCGGCTCTGTACATAGAGGGTGATACAAGGTGCAAGGTAGTCCCTCAGTCGGCTCTGTATCTCTGACTTGCCGTGTAAAATGAGCTGCAGGGCCGTTAAGTCAAAAGTCAGTCTCACATTTCTGGTCAGGAGAGGAATCCATCTATGTTTTCTCTATGATTCCTGCAAGCTCGTTTGTTTCAAATTTAAATTTCCAGTTCATTTTGGATTTATGCCAGCACACAGGAAAGGGGCAGACCAGGTTCGGCCCTTTCGCGGTGGCTTTCCAGTTATCCCAACACCATGTATGAAAACGTCGGCCTCACTCTAGTCTTGCTCGCCAATTCCCAAACATGTAAAGGTCCGCTCCCCTTGCTGGGACCTGACTCCTGACACTGTGCCATCATCCCCCAACACACACACACACACACCACGGGTTTACCCTGACTCTCCCAGACACTAACATCCTGTGGGGTCTTTGCTCTCGGAGATTCCTTGGTATGCTCATCCCTGCATCCTGCCGTTCTGTGCCAGGCCACTCTCACGTGGGGACACGCTCCTGAGTAGCTTTAGTAATGAGTTGTTCTGGAAGTGAAGAGACAGGAAGGGAATATGACGAGCTCCTGCCATCCTGGCAACTCGGGAATCCCGGTGTGACCTGTCATCCCGGCAACTCGGGTGCTCCTGTAACCCCCGCAATCCCGGTGTGCTCCTTTCATCCCGGTGACTCAGGAGCTGAGGAAGGGAGACCTTGACATTGTAAGACCCCCCCTTCTTAAATTTTAAAAAAAGGGGACCAGCGGAGGACATAATGGTTACATCACTAGACTTCCACATAGTCGACCGTAGTTCAAGTTCCAGACCTGGTGCCTTAAACCTCACACCAGGCACATGAGCGTGCGTGCCCAAAATCCCAAGAGGAGAATGGAGGAGAAGAGATTGCAGCATGGCCATCCTCCTGGGGGACAATTTCTCACTTTCTGTCTCTTTCTCTCTGGAGAGCACATGAACCCTGTAGCCAAAAACAAACACAAACTCTAAATTTTTTTTTAAAAAAGAATAAAAGAGAGTATTTCATCAGAAAACACAAATTTTACAAACAATAAATACATTTTGATTCTCTGAAATTGTCAATCATCATAGCAAAACTCTGAAAATCAGATCAATATCAAAGAAAACATGAAATATCCGAAATGGAAAGAGGACATGACTACATTTATTCCTCTTGCTTTCAGCTCCAGGGGATGTTGTGTATAACTATATACTGAAATTCTAAAAGAATCACTTTCACTTTACTCAAATTTTCATTGATAGACATGACCTGCTAGGAAAAATAAGTAATTAAAGTAAAAAGAGGGGGGAAATCTGAACTGGGCAATAATCGTGGAAGACAAGATGAAGTTGCCAGCACTCCTGGGCTGGGTGACAGGAAGCCACTTCAGGCAAGTGTATTCCATTCGTGTGCTTCTCCTGGTGCGTATGCACTTGCCAGAAAGAGAGACAGTGAGGGGGAAAGTGAGAAATCATCCTCTGGGGGGATGGCCGTGCCACAATCCCTTCTCCTCCATTCTCCTCCTGGGATTCTGGGCATGTGCACTCATGCACCCAAAACTATCAGATTGTCAATAACCACAGAATACAGGCATTAAACAGGAAAAAAAGACAAAATAATCCTGGGCCTATAAGGATTCAACTCCAGTGAGAAACGTAAATGAAGACTCATTAGAGACAACAGGAATCTGACAAAGTGAAGGCCAAGTTATCTGGAGAAATGCCAGACAGGAGTAGCACAGACCTTCTCTGTGGAAGAGCAGTTGGGGCACGAAGTCCAGGAGACTGGTAATCCCTGTTTTAACTAAAACAGCATGGTCTCAGCACCGTGGGGCCCACGGTAGGGTGCACACCGAAACTCTGGAGACAGCAGAGAGGGCAGAAGCGGATTCTGACTCTTTCTGAGAACGCTGGACTGTGACCCTGGCTGGCCGGGAGGCTGGGGGAGGATCGTGGCATGGAAAGACCCTATCGAGGGTCTCTCTCTTGTTCCCTCTCTCTCAATAAAACAAATTTTAAAACAAAAAATAAAGTAAGGGTTTAAGGTGGTTAAGGCCAATGTGTGGTTCAAGTCCTGGACTCAGTGGCTTGAGAAGCACCGTAGGCATGTATGTGTGCATTCCCAAAATCCTGGAAAGAGACAGAAGCAGAGGACAAGGGGTTGCAGTGTGACCTTTCCCCATGGAGGGTGCTTTCTCATTCTCTCTTTCTCTCTCTCTCTCTCTCTCTCTGTGTGTGTGTGTGTGTGTGTGTGTGTGTGTGTGCGTGTGTGTGTGCATGTCTTTCTCTGGCAAGCACATATGCCCTCTGGCATATTTTTAGAAATAAAAGTGTATACCTGAATAATGTAGGAACCACAAATCAATGACATATTGGATAACCCTGAAACATCCTCTGGCATCCATAAAAATGAATTAATTATAAAAATGACCTATGTGTTACAATAAATTTGGCAGCATAAAACAGAAATCCAGCAATGGCGAATTCAGCACAGGAGTTTGTTGTCTGGAGCTGGAGCAGCTGTCTGGTCCCCTTCTCCATCCCTAGCACGTGGATGTGCTCTCGAGGTGCCTACGGGGACAGACATGGAAAACGAGGAGGTGACACTTTGTAGTGAGTCCATTTCAGAAGATGCTGGCTTTGGTTGTGGTGCTTTCTAGGCCCTGCAGCCAGCTGCAGGGTGACACAGTTGCAGGGAGCATGTTGGTCCCAATAATTGGGTTCCATTCATAGGAAAAGCGTGGGAAATGGTTCCTGGATGGTACTGCAGGGCCAGCCATGAGTGCACTGTACATGAAAGACGGAAGGTTGGACCCGTCCACGCAGAGGGTGGAGGCCCCTGGCAGGCCACGTGGGGGGTGGGTGGGTGCTAAACTGGAGTTCTGCCTCACATGTTATATACGCATACACCCAAGTGCATAGAAAAAGTAATGAATAAAACCACAAATGACAGAATTACTAAGATAGATCTGGTATACATATATGATGACGCAGTGGGTGAGACCTATTTAAGCCGGATACCATGAAAAGAATTTACAAAGGAAAAATTAACGTTTCTCTTATTGGAATGTTGAAAATGTTTTCTGTGATATCTTTATTTTTTAGTTATTTTTATTTTTTTTATCTCTACCAAAACACCACAAACACATTTCAATAAAAGTGTTTATTAGTAAAAAAATGTCTTCACAGTATGTAACACAAGGTAAATATCTTTAATACCAGAGGATGTTAAAATGTTCCTGGAAAAGTAGAATTTTAAAGCATGACTATTTTGATGCAGAAAAACAAAATCAAAATCAATGCAACTTCTTCATAATATCCATTACCTGTAAAATCTGGGAAGACCTTGCCTGTAAGAATGAGCAAGAGAAGAATTAATACACTAAATGGCAAAGGTCATCAACGCATTTTCCCAAGAAAAGAAAATGAACCATTCGATACATGAAAATATGTTTAACTTCTTTATGAAGTGAAGGAGTGCACACTGGCAACAAGACTCCCTGGAAAACCCGGCGACACTTGGCCGTTGAGGCCATGGAGGGCACAGACAGACAGAACCACTAGGAGACTCGAACCGTTCACAGCGGGTAACAGGACAGTCGCTGGATCAAAACTTTAAAATACCTTCAGTGCCTCTGCTTCTGTTCTCTTCTGTGGACATGTTCGGAGCTCTAAGAAAGGTTTTATTATAATGCTTTCATCATGATACAATACTTAGAGTGAAAATTTGGAGAAGCATGGGCATGCATGATAGGAGACTGGTTATATCAACGTCGTTACACAATAAAACTGTATGCGGTCATTATTAGTTAGATTATGCCCAAAATGTGTGGTTATACAGTAGATAGACTACACTGATGTCATAAACGTAATACGAAAGTGAAAAACAAGGACAAAATGCATCGACAAACAGAAACTTAGAAAACACAGACAACAGTCGAAAGATCATATGTGTGTGTATGTGCGTGTGTGTGCGTATGTGTGCGCGTGTGTGTGCGTGTATTCCAAAGGATATATGAACTATTAAAAATGTAGTTATAGCTGTGTGGAAGGATTTTGGAGTGTTTTATTTTGCATTTTTTAATTATCTGCATGTAATATTTCAGAAACAGTGAATATGCAAAGTATATAATAACAGTAAAAGGCAATAAAATGTCTGATCCCCTCGTGAGTAAAATTCCACCAAAGTAGCGATGGTCACCTCTGGGTGAGAGGATTGTAGGGGTTTGCATTAATTTTTATAGCTTTTTTGTATTTCCCTTTAAGGAATGGTTAAAACCTTTATAATCTGAATAAAAGCACTATTAAAAAAAATATGAGATACTCTCTCTAGCCTTCATGACAGAGCCTGAAGTTCACAGAAGGTATGTAAGTTTCCTCATAATCAACTCTCTTGCTACCTCCTGCTTGCCATAGTTGAGGCCGGCCCGAACAATTCTCCGTTCTCTGGAACAGCCGAGCTCACTCTCCCCTCCAAGCATTGGCTTGTGCTCACGTGGGCCCCCCAATCCCTCCGAAGCCCTCCTGGAAAGCCCTCGCTCCCCCCACACTGGCGTGTCCCTGACGCACCGTGGAGGGACACGTGTACCCCGGGCATCGCATCGCAGCCTGCTCATGTCCTGTTGGCTTGTCCTCCTCCTCCCTGAGCCGATTTCCTGCAGAGCAGCCCCCACTGCTAACGAGTGTTGTCGGCAAAGGTAAGGAGCAGAGAGCGGGTGGACCCCTCCCTCCCACTGCACAGCTCCCTTTCCTTCTGTCATTGACGCCCAACCAAGATTTATCGCTCCCCACTCCTTCTTCCAGTGAGGAGACCAAAGTCTAGCAGATTCCGGAACTGGGGTGACCCTCAGCAGCCCCCACTCGGTGCTAATAGTTGCAGAGTTAGAGAACACTGGAAGTGGAACTAGAAGCAGGTTGTTTATCTTCCTTCCGTTCCTTTTTGCCCTGAATTATTTCAGATGGCTCCATAGACACAATGGATTCATCTGCATTGACAGAAACCCCTGGGGAACTTTTATAGGGTGAATCCAAACAGAATAACGAAGTGAACCCTCCTAGGCAGGAAGGAAGAAGCAGACATTCAAAAATAAGACAGAAAAAGGAATTCTCTGTTACTGGGCCTTTATGGCAGAGCCATGATGAGCTCCTGGAAAACGCATCACTGGTGTGGTGTAATAAGCACGCTTTCTTTTTTCTTTTCGGATAACGACTTGTTTTGTATCAGCCGTGCTATGGAACGTTGCCACGGAAGGTGGTTCTCAGCACGGGTGGGTCGGTCTGGCTCAGACCTCGCCTTCTCATTTACCCGTGGCTCTCAGGCTTTGTCGATGTGGTTTTATTCATGGCATTATTTGATTTCTCGTTCAGCACGAATTCAATGGATTCAAGATATTTTCTTCCCCATCATATCCTTTGTTCGCAACCTTCTAAGTAATTTCAGCTAAGTCATGTTTACCTCCATCTTACGTTGATTTTGTCTTCTTCTACAAAATGTAATACTCCTTAATAGTGCTAAAGTCGAGAAAATACGTATTTTTATGAATACTAAAATATTTTGCTTTTTTCAAGGCTAGCCTGTACTTAGTCTTGAAAAATATTAAAATCGACAAACCTTTTCTCCGATTGTATGTGCAAATTTCAGCTGCAAACAAGATTGTTCTTGGAATACCAGGACAAACTCAAAATTCCAATAAAATGATTCTATTTAGAAAACCAATGAGAGAAGAAGAGTCAATTAGGGACGGCTATGAAATTTATGAATCCAAACTATGCGATTATCATTAATGTTCTTCTCCAGATGTGTTTGATAATGGTTTGCTTTCGATTTAATGTTCAGCTGGCACTAACGAACATGCACATGAGTACATCCATGTTCATTCTCTTCTCTTCTGTGACAGGAAGTCTCCCGTGTGCCAGGCACTGTGCTAGACACAGTCCGGGCCCTCAGGGAGCTTGTGCTAAGAGGGAAGCAAGTGGACGAACGTAGCTGAGTGGCTCCGAGAAGGGGCGTGGTACAGGGCTTTCTCCAGGCTGGGACCCCGGTGGAGACCTCAGGATGAGACAGGTTGCAGGTCTTGCCCTCCCGCACCCTGAAGCCGGGTCACTGCCCACAGTCAGGTGCCCACTCCTTTAAACCTTGAAACTGCAACGTCTGGCGATGTGTGGGATTCCCACCTGCTGGGATCATGCAGACGTCTTTCTAAGTAGGCACTGGGGAAGCTGCTGGACCCACCTAGCCCAAATCGTCAGCGTAGGGGCAGGGTCAGCGGGGACGTCTCCGCCATCTGTCGACCCCACAGCATAGCGTATTTGTCACTTCTGAAATGCAGAGTTTCCTCTTGGACTTGGGTGCCCACCTACTCAGGCTTCCTCAGGAATATGCTGGAATATCCGCAGTCGGGGTGGTGTGGGGCCATGGCTGGACAATAGAGGTGTCCAAGGCTTTAGCTGCAGCGAGCAGGTGTTCCCCGCACAGCTCCGTGCCCTCTCGTCACCCTCTGAATGACCTCTTTGCACCTTCAGACCTCCGGACCACACGCAGCACCTTCACGCAGAGAGGCATACACTGGTTAGGAAAAGAGTGAGAGAAGTGGGCGAGTCTATCTAGAAAACCAAAGCCTGGCAGCATCCCCGGAGGCTCAGCACTGTGGAGCGTTGCCGTGTGGCTGGCCCGTCAGAGACGCCACTGCTGTCACCATTTACATACAGAAGAACGGTCTCTACTTCAAGGTCACATGGCTCCGGAACAGGGCGGTGTGGGCATAACGTTGTTGTACGCTAGCATCTAATTCTGCCTCAGTGGGAGGAGGGTGGTTTTTAATGACATCCTCAGCATGAAAGGATCAGTTTTAGCCTTGACTCTCCTTCCTTTCACCAAAACATGGAGGCCTCTCATCCCGGGGGAGAGCACAGCCCCCGAGCCGCCAGGAACAGCAGAGGTGGGAGGTGGGGGCACCGCACTCCAGCCATCCCTGAGGTGAACAGACAAAAGCTAAAGGCTGTGCAAAGGAGAATAGGGCAAAAGAGGAGATTCCTCCACCGTGGGAGGGACGAGACGATGAGGTCAGGAAAGAGATGGAGTCTGACCGCACCAGACGGGTGTCACACACCGATTGGGGTCAGGGTGTTGACATGAAGACCGCCTACTACCCTCAGAGCCGGCCGGATGCACTGCAGCACCCCACCTGTGTGCACGGGTCTCATCACGGAGCAGGGCTGTTTCCCCAGCGAGCTGTCTGATGACCGGCTTCCCGAGGTCTTATGTAAGTGTTCCGTGCAGGTGCTGTTCTGCACCTCCCTCTGGGCGCTCGGTGACGAAGACGCTACTGGATGACTGCCAAGGACAGGTCCTTGATCCGCTGGCCCTGGTGACTGGCCCACAAATAGCAGCCAGTTGCTAGGGCTGCTTGGGAAGAAAGTGTTTTGTTTATTTGTTTATTTACTTTTTTCATCTTTGAGAGGTTTTTGTCAGGGCATGTGTGCTTGCTGAGGAGAGAGAAAAACAGAGACAGTGATGGGGAAGTGAGAAATCACCCCCCAGGAGCAACGGCCTCGCTGCAATCCTTCTCCTCCATTCTCCTCCTGGGATTTTGGGCCTGCACACACATGCACCTGGCATGAGTGTTAAGCCACTGGGTCTGGGACTCAAACCGTGGTAGGCCCTGTGGGGGTCCAGTGATGTGACCGCTATGCCATCTGCTGGTCCTGGTAAGAAACGGTTTTAATGGAATAAAAAGAGGGAGGAGAGGGAGCCGTATTGGTGTGGTGGGGTGCATGATGAAGCTGATATCGAGGGACTGCACTGCCAGGAAGTGCCTAATGGAAGGCTTTGAAGAGACCCCTGTGGGACATCTACAGTAAACCCCCTGCAGCCCCTACGGGCTCCTCAGTGAAGCGGGCCTTGTTCCCTGGCACTTTTCATTCAGGGGGTCTTTGCGAAGAAGCTGCCAAGTGCTGACTCTGCCCGATTGCTGCTGGAGAGGCAGGCAGAGCAGAGGGCGGCGGCCCGGGGGTCGGGGGCGTTCTAACGGGCATCGCCTGCATGAGGCCGAGAGGGAAGATCCCAATGTCCTGGAAGGGCTGAGGAGGTGGGGAAGAAGGAAGAAGGAAAGGGACCGGGAAGGGAGCAGCCCCACCCATGGGGTTGTTCCATCTCTTTAAATGTGCGAAGCTCCAGAATTAAACTCATACGGCCCCTCCTCAAAGCCCTGCCTCTCCTACCCAGGTGTAAGTGTACCCAAACCCTTCTTTCTAAGTCCGTCCACTGTGAAGGCTCAGTGCATGCTGATTTCAGAAAACACACAAAACGCTTAATGACACAGTGAAAACATTCATGGCACAGTAAAAACCCAAACTCCCGAAATAGCTTCTCCAGCTCCTCACGAGCAGATCCAGACTCTGGTCTCCTCTGGTGTTCCCTTCAGGGAGCAGTGCCAGACCAGATCTCATGCCACCGGCCGTCTCTCTCCAGGCCTCCCTGCAGCCTCCTTTGCCCACCTGCCAAAGTCCTTTGCGTTCTTCAAGTTCCTGCTTGCATCATCCCACCCCACCGAGAGGGATTCCCACTGCCTCCCCAGTTCTCCCCACTCTAATTCCTGCCTCTGTCTAAGTCACCTTAGCCCAACTGTGCATGCCCCTGCAGACCTGGCATGGCAAGGGTATGGAACTGGCTCCCAGGGAATACTGACTGCCTGGAACTCGCAGATGATGTGAAGGGACATTATCTGCAGTGAACCGAAATAACTTGGCTTAACAAGTGTTCCCTCTAGAGGCTTCTCCTGGAAGACGGGGAGAGCCCTGCTGCAATGATCCTGCGCAGAATCCGGACGCGGCCAGGCCCGTCTGGCTGTCTGATAAGCTGCTGCTCCTCGTACAGCTGGTACCTGACTTAGGAGCTCCCTGTCAGCCAGATAGTGTTCCTTTTAGACCAATTAGGAGCTGAGATAATGCCAAGCAGGAAAATCTCTACTGAGCCTGCTTCATGCACCTCACTCATCGGCTATGCCTTTGTGCCAGCCAGACCCAGCGTAATGGTAACTAGAGCCCGAGTCCTTTAGGGGCCTCATGGGCTGGGCTGGGCACTTGACCAGAAGCTCAGTGGTTGCTCCGGGAGACGTGCATCCTGAGATGCCACCAGGGTTTTCAGTTCCTGGGCAAAATTTCAGTCATGCCAACAGCACACACACCAGCAGATACCAAGGGACTGTCTGCACCCCCCTCAGGCCTGCTCTTTGGGACACGCAAAATCAACAGCTGTCTCTTCCATAACACCTTAGTTGGCCTCTCCAGAAGGCCACGTGGATATGGAAGAGCAGTGGTACATAACCGCCCGACCAGTCCCATGTGCCCAAGGAAACAGACACACCTTATGAAGCCGTCTGTGCCCTTCTCTGTCTCTGCCATTGCCAACGTCATTCTGCAGAGCTGCACACTGCCCTCCTGAAAGGTCCCGAAGCGCTTCTCAGACGGCCTCCGGACACAGACATCTCCAATAACAGAGTGGCCGCTGCTACGTGGCATCTCCTGTCCCTACTTCAACA